CCAAACCAACAACAACTCAGCAGCTGTCATTACCAACGATAGTCCAGCATTAGTCATCACTGGTCATCGATTCAATGGAGACAATTATTTGTTGTGGTCACGCAGCGTTCGTATGTTCATTGGAGGCCGTGGCAAGGGAGATCATCTCACCGGTACGGGTGATGCTGCTCCTCTGGAAACCAGTCATCCACAATACAAGAAGTGGTCCATTGAAAATAACCTTGTGATGTCTTGGTTGCTGAATTCCATGGTGCCTGAAATAGCTGAAACATACATGTTGTGCTCCACAGCCAAGGAAATTTGGGATGGCGTGAAGGAAGCCTTCTCTAAGGAAGATAACACAGCTGCCTTGTTTCACATCAAGGGGATTCTTCGTGATCTCAAACAGGAGGACAAGGATGTCACCAGCTATTATAATTCACTCCTAAAATTCTGGCAACAATCAGAACTGGGCATATTCGGGATACATGCTGGAAAATCCATGGCAAGCCAGCTGATTGGAAGCCAAGACAAAACAGAGACTTTAATCATGTTGCTGCAGTTGGTGTTGTTCAAGCAAAATCCGAAGGCCATACATTTACAAGGGAACAAGTGATAGCCATACAACGCATGCTGCAAGATTGCAATAAGAACAAATCTAATCCCTCATTCATCAATCAGGTACATTCCATACAGCTCTCCAATCCGATCTTGATAAATGTGATTCCTGCAATTTAATTTCTATTACTTTCAATTTTCGAGGCAAAATCAAGGATTTAAAGTGTTGTTCACCTATCGTCAAATATCTTTACCCACGTTGATTGTATTTTTTGATTGTATTTTTCAGGATTTGGCATCGGGGAGGACGATTGGCAGTGCTAGGGTCTCTAATGGTTTATATCAACTTTACACAGCCGCGGTTATGAAGACTCAAGACAGCACATTTGCAGCAACTAGCAATTTGAATAAGGCTCTTTTATGGCATTTTAGATTAGGGCATCCAAACTTTCAATATATGAAAAAGATGTACCCTTCTTTATTTAATGAGAATTCGAATTTTCCTTCATGTGATATATGTCAACTTGCAAAACAAACTCGGTCTCATTATCCCTTACAAATGCATGTTCCTTCTAAACCATTTGCCATTATCCACAGTGATGTGTGGGGACCTGCAACTGTTAAAAGCCTTACGGGTGCTCGTTGGTTTGTCACATTTATTGATGATCATACTCGAATGACATGGGTGTACCTATTAGCCAATAAATCTGAAGTCACATCCACCTTTAAAGTCTTTCACAAAATGATCCTTGCCCAATTTCAAACCCAAATCCTTACCCTTAGATCTGACAATGCACGTGATTATTTTAACTTGGACCTTTCAGCTTACCTAAAAGACCATGGCATCATCCACCAGAGCTCTTGTGTCAATACCCCACAACAAAACGGTGTATCTGAGAGAAAAAATCGCCATTTACTTGAAGTTGCTCGTAGCCTACTCTTTGCCTCAAATACATCCAAAAATTATTGGGGGGAAGCTATTCTTACAGCCACTTACCTTATCAACCGCATGCCATCTCGGGTATTACACTTCTCCTCACCTTACCAAACACTCCTCACTGCATTCCCTTCATTGACCTTAACCCCAAATCTCCCACCAAAAATTTTTGGTTGCACCGTGTTCATTCATAACTCTCAAGGTGGTAAATTGGATCCTCGGGCTCTTAAGGGCATCTTTCTTGGCTATTCCCCTACTCAGAAGGGGTATAAATGCTTCAGTCCAGCCACACATCGATTCTACATTACTAAAGATGTCACCTTTTTTGAACATCAGCCTTATTTTTCCCAAACCGCCATTCAGGGGGAGATCCCTAATTCCAAGGAATGGTTGTTTGTGACTAATACTCCAGAAAACTCTGCTTCAACAGCCCCTACACCGGTCTTAGGTGAATCTCAGGAAAATGACACTTCATCTAATGGCTTATCCTCTTCCGGCCCGCTCCAGAAACCGCCTGAACAGCAGCCCCTGCAAGTCTACACGCGACGGCCCAAATACAGAACAGCTTCTGAGATGCTTGAACATGTTGACAAACAGATTACCTTGGCTCCTGGTCCAACTGAAGAAACCATTAGTCCTGCACTTGACCAAACTGAATCCTTGCTGCCAAGTTCTGATGATGCTCTGCACATGCCAATTGCACTTCGTAAGGGGGTAAGGACATGTACAAGTCATTACATCTGTAATTTTATATCCTATGCTAATCTTTCCTCCAGGATGCAGCATCTAGTCAAGAACATTGACAAGGAAACCATTCCTACATCCTACTTTGAGGCATCTAAGACTACTGAATGGTGTTCTGCTATCCAGGATGAATTGCATGCACTCAAAAAAAATGGCACTTGGGAGATAGTTACCTTACCACAAGGAAAATCAGTGGTTGGCTGTAAGTGGATTTTTACCATCAAATATAATGAAGATGGGAGTATTAATCGCCATAAAGCAAGACTTGTGGCCAAAGGATTCACTCAGACACAGGGCATTGATTACCAGGAAACCTTTGCTCCAGTAGCAAAATTTAATTCAATTAAAATTCTTTTGTCCATTGCTGCTTGCCTAGATTGGCCCCTTTGGCAAATGGATGTGAAGAATGCATTCTTAAATGGTGACTTAGAAGAAGAGGTTTACATGGAAATTCCCCAAGGAGTGGAAGATGGTCAAGGATCTCGAAAGGTATGTAGATTATTAAAATCCCTTTATGGTTTGAAGCAATCTCCAAGGGCTTGGTTTGATAAGTTTACTGCAGTTGTCAAAAATCAAGGGTACTCCCAATGTCAAACTGATCATACTATGTTTGTTAAAACTGCACCTCATCAGAAAATTACAATATTAATTGTCTATGTTGATGATATTGTGATTACTGGTAATTGGGAGGATGAGATAAAGCAATTAAAGGAGACGTTAGCTCACAAATTTGAGGTCAAGGACCTTGGAAAATTACGATATTTTCTTGGAATGGAAGTGGCAAGAACTAAGGAAGGAATTTCAGTTTCTCAAAGAAAATATACTCTTGATCTGCTGAATGAAACAGGGATGTTGGGATGTAAACCTTCTGATACACCAATGGAGGCGAACTACAAGATAGGACTCAAACAAGAATGTGCTTCGGTAGACACTGAGAGATATCAAAGACTAGTTGGAAAACTCATTTATTTAGCCCACACTAGGCCTGATATTAGTTTCCCTGTGAGTGTGGTCAGTCAATTTATGAACAGCCCAAATGAAGAGCACTTGGAAGCCGTCTACAGAATCCTACGATACTTAAAGATGACTCCTGGTAAAGGATTGTTCTTCAAGAAAAATTCCAGCCGTGATATTGTGATTTACACGGACGCTGATTGGGCAGGATCCATTATCGATCGAAGATCAACCACAGGCTATTGCTCATATGTGTGGGGAAATTTGGTCACTTGGAGGAGTAAAAAACAGTCTGTGGTAGCCAGAAGCAGTGCTGAAGCCGAATACAGGGCATTGTCCTTAGGCACTTGTGAGGGAATGTGGATTTTAAGAGTCCTAAAGGAGCTACACCTCGAATACAAGGATCCTATGAAGATTTTCTGTGATAACATGGCCACCATTGGAATTGTCAATAATCCAATCCATCATGACCGTACCAAGCATGTTGAACTTGATAGAAATTTCATCAAGGAAAAAATTGATGCAAATATTATTGATCTAAGTCACATTTCCACAGGGTCCCAGATTGCTGATATCTTAACCAAGTCTTTATCAAGAATTAAATTTGGACTAATTTCCAAGCTGGGAATGCTGGACATCTACCACCCAGCTTGAGGGGGAGTGTTGCAATCCCTAGTTTTCAGCATCTAGAATGTTTTATTTTTCCTCCTTAATCTTAGGAGTTTGTTTCGTTATTTGTTATTTAAATTCCTAGGATTAGTTTGTTTCTGATATTTTTCCTGTTTAGTTAAAATAGGATTCAGTTTTCTAGTTTTATCTCTTTCCCTGATTATAGGGATTTGTTGCACTGGAATATTTCTGGTGTCTATTTATTGTACGTTTTTTTTCTTTTAGTTTTAATGGAAAAACTGGTTCCATCATTCAAACTTTCTATACTAAATATCGCCATTCATCCATCATAAGTGATTGACCTGATTACATTATTTGGACTTTAATATAAATCAATTGAAACGAGTATTATGGTTTCTTAGAGTAGCATATACCTCATTTTATTTGTAGCTCAAGACAAGACCATATGGTTATAAAATATGTATTTCACTGGACTGATATTGAGAACTTTTTATTTAGTAGAGATTGATATGACATTTTCATTGCAGAACACATATAGACAACATTACTTCTGAAGTAGTACTTCATACAACTTTTGCTCTTAAACTTTTGTCCTGACTATTACTCTCCATTAGGTGCCTGGGCTGACTCATTATTGAAAAAAGTAATTTAAAAAGATTAATCAGGTATCTTGCTAAAAGGGCAAACCAGAGCAGTGGTAAAACTGTTCCTTCATAACTGCAAGGTCATGGGTTCGAATCCAAGAAACAGCCTCTTTGCAATCATGCAAGGGTAAGGCTGCGTATAAAGATTTTCCTCCACCCCACACTCGCTAGTCAGATTTAACGGGAAGTGTTTTAGAATGTTTTAGAATCAGGTATCTTGCTATGCAGAGAACGGGTCTCCTCAGTCAAATATGGGAGATGGGTGTCTACAAGGAACTACATAGGAGCACTCTTGGGCAGGCTCAGGCTGAAATTTAACCAGAAAATAAGTGATTTATTACAAAGATCAATTTCACATGGATAATGTAGTTCATGATAATTGAAAAGTGATTAATGCATAATGAAATAGCATATACTAAGTTCAATACATTACCTATATGTGAGACTTCCGGCAGCAAGATTCTTCCCACCTGTGAGGAATAGTTGTAATGCCTCGATTACGTCTTCAGGGGGATACCACAAATGAGCCTGAGGCATATCAGATGATGTTTCCTGGAAGAAGTATCTTCTATTTCCAGGTGGCAAGAAGTAAATCTTCTTCTGTTGGTTTGATATGCCAGATTTAAAATTGGTTGATGGATCCCAGTCCGGAAGCATTACTATAAAATCTTTGTTATGATCCTGCCATAAATTGAAGAGTTGTCCCAATCAGTATCCAGGGCAGATGCTGATGACAGCAAACGGAAATGCAACATGTATTCATACTACTAGTACAAAGTTTATTATTAATCCGCCAGAATTATATAATCAAATCGGCTGATTAACCATTTTGTCCTTGTTTTAAATTTTATTTTACCACTCTTTCCCTTTTCCCAAATTATATACCAATATATCCGTTTTCTCAAATTATATACCAATTTGCCCCTATTTAACTGACATTTACTAGAGTAAATGACTTCCCAAGGACTAAGATTTGGTCAAACAAGGGAATATTAGTATATAGTATGAGAAGAGGGGCAGATTGATATAGTTTGGGAAGACAGATAAAACGATAAAAAAAAAATTAAAATATGGTAAAATAGTCAATCAACCTAATCAAGTGGGATACTCTTTCGTTTTACAAAAATATATATATTATAAGTGTTTTACAGCTACGGAAAAAACAAAGGGAAATCATGCAACTTGGAGTCTTGGACAAAGAGTAATACTAATACTAATTATCTAGAAAAGGAATACTTCTCGCAGGCTACTTCCCTCCTCAAAATTCACAAGTCCCTTCCAGAATGGGTGTAAAACTACATTACTGAAATCTCTATTCCCTTGCTATTATGGCCCTAAGATCTTCCTCCACCCCCCACATGCACACAGACAGTTCAAACTCAAAAGGTAATTTTGAAGAATGCCCATCACAATCAAGACCTAACATCTCCTCAACACCCCACGCTCCAGCAAAAGGTTTTAATGCGATACTGTTGGAAAGCAATCCCAAAATATTACGAGAATCACAACATTTCATAATTAGAAGGATTGTGGAAACCTATTCTTTCTTTCTTTTTTTGTGGTGTTGTTGGGGGGGGGGGGGGGGGGGGGGGGGGGGGGGGGGGGGGGGGGGGGGGATTCCTAGTTAATTCTAGGACTTGCCTAGGACTTGCAAAGTGTGTTTCCTTTTCTACATGTCTTTGCTATGTAATGTATCTTTGATCATATGAATAAAACTAAGGGAGTAAATAAGTTCCCCAAACTCTGATCTTATGGTATCAAGAGCTGGTTCTTCATCATGGAAGATGAAAACCCAGTACAGCCTTATGGATGACACACCAACCACCCCAGAAAATGCCAATCAGCCTCTTACGGGTTACCTAAACAACAACTTCAACATCATGGCTCCATCTGGAACTTTTAACTGAAGAGGAAATGAGAGATTTTGGTGAAATCTGGGTGTCTCAACTACACAACAGGGTCTGGATAACATAACCGAAAAAATGATAAATATGGAATAAATATAAACATCCTAACTATCCTTATTACCGTGATTACATAATTCTGACTACCTATTTATATAATCAACAAAATAATATTTACATGTTCATCACAATTACCAACAGTCCCTCTCACACACACCTTCCTAATAGGGGGCAGCTACTAACAGGGTACTATTAGGCCAAGCCCACTACTACAATAAGATGATTAATCATAACTAAATAAGGAAACAAATTAGGAAATATAATGAAATTTGGAAGCCATTCCTAGAGATCAACTAAGATATTTTAAAATATCCTAAGATACAATATTAAGATATTACGAGATGATCTTAAGCAGAAATCAAAGACTAGAATACATACAGCAATTCCGTCAGTACAATCATAAACTGTATGATAAAGAATCTCCCAAGCTGCCTCAACTTGATGAACTGCTTTACCATATCGTCTATGGGAATAACTCTTGAGCCATTCCTGCAAGAGAAATAAAGTTCAACCCACTTACAAAAGGTTCAATCATATATAGACAAAAGTATTTCAACACATCATATCGAATATGTCATCAAATGTGCATAAACATAAACTTAATGAAATGATTAGCCTGATTCACACCCATATACATACATATAGTAAGAGGGAAATGGAAAAATAAAATCAAAGATAAGGAAAAATAGGAGATAAGAGTAAGAAGGGATCTACTACTTTTATTCACATGATATTAGACTCAAATATATAAGGTTACACGGATGCAGATGTTGTTCGGGAAACAACACGAAGTGATGTGCTTGGTGAATATATTAGAGTATTACTACTTGCTTTGAATACCAGACTCTAACTGAGTATGCTATGTAGCTAGACGTTTCTACTACTAAGTACTAACTACTAGCTGTGCTGAGTCAACACGGCTACACTGTTAGAACAGCTTTTCTAACATATGTCAGGTAGTACTAATACATCAGACCTTGACTATTCATTAACATTACAAATAAGGAATGAAAAGAAGAATTCTCATTAATTAAATTGCAGTACAGAAAAAGGTAATATATATACACCTAAAGGGGATCTTACTGACCATCAGGATTATCCTCTCCTATCCGTAAAAGAAGGAGAAAAAATAACAAACTCTAACAATTCTTAACAGCTGTACAAATCAGAAAAACAACTAACCGTATCAGCAAAGATACAATTACTGATATGACCCTAAACTAAACAAGTATCCTTTTATCTCTAATACTCCCCCTCAAGATGGAGTATGAATATTGTGTATTCCCATCTTGCTTAACAAAGATCCAAACTGAGTTGGAAATAAAGGCTTAGTGAGTAAGTCTGCTAACTGTGATTGTGAAGGAATATGCAAGGCCTTTACTTCTCCATTCAAGATCTTTTCTCTCACTAAGTGACAATTTATCTCAATGTGTTTTGTTCTCTCATGAAAAACAGAATTCTCTGCAATATGCAAGCCTGCTTGGTTATCACAAAAAATCAATCCTGGTTCCTGATGAATAACACCGAAATCTGATAACAGTGTGCGAAGCCAAATTAACTCACAAGACACATTTGCCATTGCTCTATATTCTGCCTCTGCTGAAGATCTGGAGACAGTTGGTTCCTTCTTTGACTTCCAGCTGATACGGGAATTTCCCAAAAACACACAAAAACCAGTCACTGATCTTCTGGTATCCACACAAGATGCCCAATCTGAATCTAAGAAGGCTTTTAATTTCAAATCACCTGAACTTGGATAGAACAGTCCTTGACCAATAGTTCCTTTAATATAGTGAAGTACCCTATAGACTGCTTGTAGATGAGGAACTCGAGGCTTAGCTAAAAACTGACTTAGGCTATTTACTGCATAAGATAAGTCAGGTCTTGTGATGGTTAGATATAATAATCTACCAATTAGTCTTCTATAAATCAAAGGATCATCAACCAGATCTCCTTCCTCTTGAGACAGCTTCAAATTTGCTTCCATTGGTGGATTTTTCGGCTTACAACCAGTCAATCCTGCATCAGAAAGGATTTGCAAAGCATAACCACGTTGACAAATACTAATTCCTTTAGATGATCTAGCTATTTCAATTCCCAGAAAATATTTCAAATCACCAAGATCCTTGAGCTTAAAATAACTACTCAAAAGAACCTTTAAGGACTCAACCAGTATGTTGTCATTGCTGGCTATTACTATGTCATCTACATAGACTAGAACAGCTAGAAAAGAATCACCATGTCTTTTGATAAAAAGAGAAGAGTCAGCCTTTGATTGTTGATAGCCATTGTCGGTTAAAACATTTGAGAACTTGATGAACCACTGCCTTGATGCCTGTTTAAGGCCATACAATGATTTGTGCAGTTTGCAAACAAGATTAGATACAGACTCCCCCTCATGGTGATATCCCGGAGGCGGTAGCATATCTACTTCCTCGGTGAGGTCACCATGCAAAAACGCATTGTTGATATCCAAATGAGTAAAAGACCATCCTTGAATAGCAGATAAGGCCAGAAGCATCCTAACAGAAGTGATTTTAGCCACTGGTGAGAAAGTGTCGAAGTAGTCTATTCCTTCCTGTTGAGTGAACCCTTGAGCAACCAAACGAGCTTTATATCTCTCCAAAGAACCATCAGCATTGAGCTTTACTTTGTACACCCATTTACAACCAATGGGTCTTTTTCCAGGAGTCAAGGTAACCAGTGACCAGGTCTTATTATCTTCCAAGGCTGCAATCTCAAATTGCATTGCAGTTTGCCATGAAGGTATTTTGATAGCCTCATGAAAAGAAGAGGGTTCAGAATGTAGAGTAACCGAATTGATATAAGCATCATAGGAAGGAGATAAGCGTGATTTGGACAAAACAAAATGTAAAGGATGTGTGGTATTGGATGTCATGGAAGAACAAAAATAATCTTTAAGATAAGGTGGTTGAATTGTGCGAGTGGATGTTTTTAAGGGAAGTGAGTTATAGGTGTGTGTAGGAAAAACAGAATCAGAAAAGGGGTCAGTGGGAAATGGCAAATGTTTAAAAGGAAATTCTGTTTCCTGGAAATTAACATCTCTGGAGATAAAAACCCGGTTCGTGGTCATATCAAGAACCTTATAAGCCTTGTACCCTGGAAGATAGCCAAGAAACACCACTGGTATGGCTCTTGCAAAAAATTTGTGGCGATCACGAGGCAATGTTGAGGCAAAACAGAGACAACCAAACGAACGAAGATGAGTGTAAGAAGGTGGTTTACCCATCAAGACTTCAAATGGAGACTTGTCAGCTAGGAGTTCAGTTGGCAACCTGTTAATCAAATAAGCAGCAGTAAGTACACAATCTGTCCAGTAATTTAATGGAACATTGGACTGGAAGAACAAGGATCGAGCAACATTCAGCAAATGTTGATGCTTCCGTTCGACAACCGCATTTTGCTAAGGTCTATCCACACAAGAGTGTTGATGAATAATCCCCTTTTGTTTGAAGAACTCAGTGAAATTAAACTCAGCAGCATTATCCGAGCGTACACTTCTAATTGTCCTCTGAAATTGGGTAGCAATCATGGTACAAAACTCAGGAAAAATGCGCAAAACATCAGACTTAGCATGGAGAAAATACACCCAAGTGTACCTGCTGCAATCATCAACAATGGTCAAGAAAAAACGGAATCCATCAACAGAAACAGTGGAAAAAGGGCCCCAAATATCCAGATGTACCAAGTCAAAAGGAAAATCAGCAATATTATTATTAGAAGTAAAAGGCAAACGCCTCTGTTTGGATAAAGGACAAACATGACATGATTCAGACGCATCTGAGACAGAAGGTAATCCCAATACACTTTTTAAAGATTGTAAACGTGAAAAAGAAGGGTGACCAAGACGTTGGTGCCAAAGGGAAGAACCATCGATTGACAAAACACGAGCTGTATCATTAAGAGGTAATGCATGCAACACATATAAATTCCCTTGACAGTCAGCAGTCCCAATCTTGTGTCCTGTGATAGGATCCTGCAGAATACAAGATGTACAAGTGAAGGAAATAGTAAGTGGAAAACAAGATGTTAAACAGCTCCCTGACAAGAGATTATATTGAAACTCAGGAACAAATAAAACGTCTGAGAGCACCAAATGAGGTGATAGACAGACAGAACCTATACGAAGGACAGGAATCTATGTACCATTTGGAAGATTTACACGAAAGTCATGAAGAGGACGAGAAGAGTGGAAAGAACTCAAGTCACAACAAACATGATGTGTTGCCCCTGTGTCCAAGATCCAAGAAGAAACAGAAAGAGGAGAAGACTTACCTGACACATGAGCGATTGAGGATACTGACGCAAAATTGCCAGATCCGGACTCCATGGTGGTTTGTGATGAGGAAGACGACTTGGACGACTTGGAAGACGGTGATGAAGACGAATGAAGGAGAGCAAGCAATTGGGATACTTGGCCTGGGCTCAAAGAATGGTTTGGGCTGGTTGGCCTAATAGAATTAACATGCCCATCAGTGGACACATTGGCTGTGGAATTATGGGTTGAGCTTGACCCAGATGGATACCGTTTTCCCTTGAAACCGGGTGGATACCCGTGAATCTGAAAGCATTTCTCAATAGTATGTCCATTCATGTTGCAATGGGTACAAAAAGGTCGCCATTGAGGTTGTCTGAAGCTGCCTGGATTCGCCTGAGAAGCATTCACAATCGAATCGCCTGGGAAACTGGTTTGAATATTTCGTTGACGTTCTTCTTGTATGACCAAAGCAAAAACCCTGCCAAGAGAGGGCAAAGGTTCCATCAATAGGATTTGTGCTCGGGTAGAAGCAAACGAATCATTCAGGCCCATGAGAAATTGCAACAATCGTTCCTGCTCACGAAACAAAATCCAGGGTTTCATACCTCCACAGTGACAAGTGGGAATTGGTTCAAACTCCTTCAATTCGTCCCATAGGATCTTCAGACGAGTGTAATAAGAGTTGACATCAAGAGAACCTTGAACTAATGTGGTAATTTGTGATTTCAACTGAAAAATTCGTGGACCATTTCCCTGTTGGAAGCGTTCTTTCAAATCGAGTCATATATTTGCAGCAGAAGGTGTGTAGAGAAGACTATCTGCAATCTCTTGCACCATTGAATTTAGTAACCAAGAAGTCACCATACTATTGCATCGAGTCCAGTAAGAGAGAAGCAAATCATCCGAATCAGGTTGGAGGATGGTGCCATCAATGAACTGTGCTTTATTTTTGGCAGTAAGTGCCATAGACATAGCCCTACTCCAAGTATGGTAGTTGGTTCCATTGAGAAGATGAGTGACAAGAACTAGACCAGGATGGTCAGCACTATGGAGATAATAGGGGCTTGAGGTGTCTTCGATGGGAGAGGAAGAAGAACCTCCAACAGTTGATTTGTTCGTCGCACCCTTGGCCATGGCTGAAGGGTGTCAGAGAACGCAAGGAAGAAACCGCATTGCTCTAGATACCATATTACAAATAAGGAATGAAAAGAAGAATTCTCATTAATTAAATTGCAGTACAGAAAAAGGTAATATATATAACACCTAAAGGGGATCTTACTGACCATCAGGATTATCCTCACCTATCCGTAAAAGGAGGAGAAAAATAACAAACTCGAACAATTCTTAACAGCTGTACAAATCAGAAAAACAACTAACCATATCAGCAAAGATACAATTACTGATATGACCCTAAACTAAACAAGTATCCTTTTATCTCTAATATAGATCATTCAGTTTTCATACAGAAGAATAATAATCTCTCAGAACTTTTTCAATCTCTCTTTCTCTTCTCACACTTACTTTCCCACACTTTCCTGAATAGCGATTGTGAGAATATTTATAAGATATCTAATAATATTATGATTATATCTTAAAATAGTTTAGATTATCTCATATGATCTCTTAGGTTTCGTTTTCATATTTTCTTATATTTCACGATTTGTTTCCCTATTTTAAGAGTCTACTATTAGTATAAATAGGGGTTATTCTCTTTTCTATGACATCTTTAACAACAATATCAATATAATATTATTCTAAGTATATGTTTTCCTCTCTTTATATTTACATCCCTATAATTTCAACAATTATCAAATTATATTATGGTATCAAGAGCCTTATCTTGAGAACTAAAATTTTGTTCCGCTATTCTCTATTCCATACATTTTAGTTTGGAATTTAGTCTCTAATAGTCCACCGAAAACCTCATTCAGGTCAGTCTCACCTCTATAAATAAATAAATCACTCCCCAATTAAACCCGACTAGCGACTGTGGGATGAGGACAATCATTGTATGCAGTCTTACCCTTGCAAATAATTGCAAAGAGACTATTTCCCGGATTTGAACCCATGACCTTTTAGTCACAAAGAAACAGCTTTACCACTACTCCGATTCGCCCTGAGCAGTCTAAATTGGATCAACGTGATCTAGTTCATCACTAAAAACAATTTTTAAACTGGATTTCAATGCAAGAAGACTAAGTATATTGAAGCTAGTACCCTTTTTGACATCCATATTTCAACTACTTTTATATATTAGCATCATATCTATAACGCGTATAACACAACCAATGGGAAGACACTGTTTGTACTCTAAGTAGAGAGAGCTTAGGAGCTACATTACCAGAACTTGAACTTTCTCATCACGAAAAGCCATTTCAGACATCAGCTCATAAACAACAGGATTGTGCTCTATTCCTTCCATACACATACCGACACCTATCTGCATAAAGATTTCACACAAGTTTAAAATTCAGAATGTAGAAACAATACATCAACATCAACAGCACCTTTAACCCAAGTTAATTGAGGTCGGTGGTAGATGAACCTAATAATAGATAAGAGGAGATTAAAAATAAAAAAATAAAAAAATAAAAAAATAAAAAATATATATAAAAAAAAATAAAATAAAATAAAAATAAAAATAACAATAGAACAAAATAAATAAATAAAATAAAAAAATAAAAAATAACAATAGAATAAAATAAATAAAAATAAAAATAAAAATTGGGGAAAGGGGAAATAAGATAAAAGACAAGAAGGGGAAAAAAAAGATAGGAGGGATTGAAGAGGAAAAAGACTAAAACGGGATCATCAGGAACATTGGAACAACAACGGATTTAACCTTCCACCCTGCTTAGAGTTTTTCTCCATTCCGTCCTAAGACACGTTGTCCGCCAATCTATATCTCACTCCATTAAGTCTTGTTTAACTACCTTTCGCAAGGTAAGTTTCGATCTACCTCTACCTCTCTTTGTGTCGAGCTCTTGGTAACAAACTTTTGTTCTTACAGGAGCATCTAGGGGCCGTATCATTACGTGCTCAAACTACCTCAATCTATGCTCCCTCATATTTTCAGTTACCGATACTACTCCTACCTTTCGTCGAATATCTTCATTTCTTATCTTATCCATCCTCGTATAACCACACATTCACCTTAACATTCTCATTTCTGCTACTCCCATTTTATGCTCGTGTTGCCTATGTGCTGGCCAATATTCAGCTCCATATAACATTGCGGTCTTACTGTTGTTCTATAGAATTTTCCTTTTAGCTTAAGGGGAATTTTGCGGTCACACAAAAACCCAGATGCACTCCGCCATTTAATCCATCCTCCTGCTTTGATTCTGTGATTTACATCGTCATCAATCTCACCACCTTTTTGCAAAATTGATCCCAGGTATCTAAAAGCATCTTTCTTGGGTACCTCTTGACCAAGTAGATGCATGGGGTCTTGATCTCCATCTCTTACTAGAGAAAACTCACACTTCATATACTCAGTCTTGCTCCGGCTTAATGTGAAACCTTTAGACTCCAAAATGCTTCTCCACAATTCAAGTTTCCTATTAACACCGTCTTTGGTCTCATCAATAAGTACAATATCATCAGCAAAAAGCATACACCACAGCACTTCCTCTTGAATGTCTTTTGTTAGTTCATCCATCACTAAGGCAAAGAGATAAGGACTCAGAGCCGAACCTTGGAGTACACCTACTGTAATAGGAAAATAACTTGATGTTCCATTATAAGCTTTCACACATGTTGTAGCCCCATCGTACATATCCTTGATTGCATTTACATACTTTGAGGGTACTTTTTTCTTTTCAAGAACCCACCATAAAACTTTTCTTGGAACCCTATCATATGCTTTCTCAAGATCTATGAACATCATATGTAAATCCTTCTTTTTTTCTCGATATCTTTCCATCAATTGACGCAACGAGAAAATAGCTTCTGTGGTACATCTTCCTGGCATAAATCCAATTTGATTTGCAGAAACCTTGGTCTCTCGCCTCAAACGATGTTCAATAACTCTTTCCCACAACTTCATAGTATGGCTCATAAGCTTAATACCTCTATAGTTAGAACAATTCTAGATATCTCCCTTGTTTTTGTAAATAGGCACAAGCACACTCTTCCTCCAAGCATAATGCATCTTATTTGTTTGAAGAATCTTATTGAAAAGATTGGTCAGCCAATTTATTGCCACCTCCCCTAAGCCTCTCCACACTTCAATAGGTACGCCATCGGGTCCCAAAGCTTTATTAGTCTTCATCCTCTTTAAAGCCTCCTTGACTTTATGTGTATTGATTCTGCGCACAAATCTTCTATTTCGATCATCATAAGCATCCTCCAAGCCCACTTCGCTTTTATCACCATCCCCATTAAAAAGCTTGTTAAAGTAGTTCATCCATCTTTCATTTACATCTTCATCTCTTACCAAAAGTTTTTGGATTTCATCCTTGATGCATCTAACTTGGGTGAGGTCTTTACTTTTCTTATCCCTCATTTTTGCAAGGATGTATATACCTTTTTCACCATCCTTACTCCAAAGATTTCTATCCAAATCGGCAAAAACCTTACATCTAGCTTCTCACACTGCTTTCTTTGCATTTTTTCTCGCCAATCTAAACTTTTGCAAATTATTATCATTGGGACTTTTATGCAAAGATCCAAAGCATTCCTTTTTCTATGTAATTGCCTCTTGCACCTCTCCATTCCACCACCATGTTTCCTTTGTATGGAATCCAATTCCTTTGTTTTCTCCTAGCACCCTCTTTCCCATATTTTGGATACACATAGCCATCTCATTCCATATTTTATTAGCTCCTCCAACAAACTCCAATGGTCCTTCATGCAACATTCTTTCTTTGAACTCTAATTGTTTTTCCTCCTTTAGCTTCCATCATCTTATCCTAGGGTTCTGAGCCATCTTCCTCATTTTAAGTACTTTGTTGAACCGAACCTCTAGAACTACCAGCTTATATTGCGTAGCAACACACTCTCCAGGGTAGACCTTGCAGTCGACACAAGAATTTCTATCTTCTCTTCTAGCCATGAAGAAATCAATTTGACTACGATTTTGGCCACAATGAAAAGTGATAAGATGTGACTCCTTTTTCTGGAAAAAGGTGTTTGCTAGCATCAAATTGTAGGCTAGTGCAACTTTAAAGATATATTCTCCAGTCTCGTTTCTCGTCCCATAGCCAAAACCTCCATGAATTCTATCAAAACCTCCACTGCTTTTACGGTTTTACCAACATGACCATTTAGATCTCCTCCCAAGAAAATCTTATCCTCTCGTGGTAACCTCTCAAAACCTCCTCCAAGTCTTCCCAAAATTGGTTCTTATCATTTGATTGCATACCAATTTGGGGTGTATACAGACTGAGGATATTCAAAATTAATTCGCCTTCTACAAGCTTAATTAGAATAATCCTGTCGCCTTTCCTTTTTACATAAACGACTTTATCTCTGAAACTTCTATTGATCATAATTGCAACACCATTTTGACTCTTATTTATACCTGTGTACCACAACTTGAAACCGGTACCATCCATTTCCTTGGCCTTTTCTCCAACCCACTTAGTTTCTTGAAAGCAAACAATATTCACTTTCCTTCTAGCAAAAACATCTGCTAGCTCCCTCAATTTACCCGTTAAATTTTCTATGTTCCAGCTTCCCAATGCATCCTTAACCCCTGGGCGGTGAGGTGGTGCTTGTTCGCCACGCTCGCCCATCTACGTGTTGGGAGCCTGACCTACTTTTCACCAAATCCGGGAGAAGACCTGGCGCCTTGCCTTGGGGCAAAGACCCTGACCCATTTTTCGCTGCACCCGGGGTCCGATGCAACGTGTCGCTATGAAGTGTACGCCCCAACGAAATATCATAAGGGTTCATCTCATAAATATAGCTGTTTTTACGGCTGGCTGGCTACACCTGATGCCAACCCTCCTCCTTTATCCTGGCTTGGGACAGGCCATGCATGCAAGCACGCATAGGCGGAGTTAATGTAGAAACAATAAATCAAGAAAAATAATTACTACATATTTTTCAGCTTCAAATCTGAAGATATTTTATGCCAATGAAATGAAGCATAGATAATACATAAGCCATGAGATATGCACATAAAATCACAATGAAAATAGGTATTATCGGCATTGCTTGTGTCATTTAGGCTTCCAACAAATAGAAAATCGTAAATATTGTCAATATCATAATTGGCAATATGAATATGTGATACAAGAAATACTGGTAGTACCATTGTTGAGTTTGCACTGATACGAGCATCAACAGGCCCTGAAGAAATTGCATCCAAAGTACCATACATTTCAATATTACCACCAAAATTATGTAGCATGCACCTGAAGCAGAGTAAGATTGATATAGCATAATTGTTGTTTAGAATATCGCATTTGTGTAGAGAAACTAGTAACATGAGCTACCAAAGAGATAATTACCAAATATAAGGAGTACCATAAAACTGAAAGGAAGCTTTCCATATTGGTTTTACATCAGCAAATAGATCAAGAACAATCATCTTTCCCGATGGAACAGAATGTAAAAGTGCCTGCAAATAATACATGCATAGTTAAAAAAATCAATGTGAAGAAGCAGAATTTGCATTAAACGACGTTCCACGTAGATTGCTACAAGACAGAAGATGCAAAACAAAGAATCTTAATGGATAAAGTCAACATAAAATCATAGTCAAGGGTATCCAGCTGTTTGAGAACAAACATAAAGTGAAGTCTGGAAATTAGTTGTTGGATCAGAGAGGAGTCAACTCCCTCGAATTATAATGTCATTATGTAAAGAACCTTGGGATACACCACCCCAAAAGCTAGCTCAAAGGGTGAGAATGCCCAAGACCTTATAAACTCCACATTAGTTGCACATACAACCAAGTGGGACTATATATCTCCACACGCCCCCTCACACGAGAGCCCATTGAGCTTGAGTGACTATAAGGTTACAAGTTCGATCCTCACCGCCCCCACTTTAAAGTGGAATTAAAATAAAGAAAAGCACAAAAAGGTTCAAGCCCAATGGGCTCTCGTGTGAGGGGGCGTGTTGAGATATATAGTCCCACATTGGTTGTATGTGCAACTAATGTGGCCTTTATAAGGCCTTGGGCACTCCCACCCTTTGAGCTAGCTTTTGGGGTGGTGACCTCAAGGTTCTTAACAAATCCATATAGATATAGACCAAAATGTAAATACAGTACGAGGCATGGATGATAAAGGTTTTAAACAGAAACTGTTTTGCATTCCTTGCAGGCAAGCTTCCTATATATATATACAAGATGTACACTATTCATTCTGCCATAATTAAGGTGACAGATGAGTACCTAATTAATGGTAGTTGACTAATGTAGATAAGAAAAGGAATCTACAATATACAGTGAAGTAAAACACAGGAGAATAAACAGAAAATAAAGAGGGAATAACGGCAAACAATATCTCTCTAAATCAGAGAACATATCGCAATATCTCCCCCTAAATCAGAGGAGACATCACAACATATATAATTGAATCTGAAATATATTGTATATTCAAGTGTGTAAGTCTGTACAAGGAGGCTCTCTATTTATAGAGACTAAAAAGACCTAATGGGATGACCTAATGGGCCAAGCCCACAATCTAGACTATTCTAGACTATTCTAATAATAATAAAATAATATTATTTCTAACACTCCCCCTCAAGCTGGTGCGTATATATCAAAAGCTCCCAGCTTGTTACAAATATGATCTATTCGGGGACCTCTAAGAGCTTTAGTGAATACATCCGCAAGTTGATCATTTGAATTGACAAATGCTGTCTCGATCTCCCTTGACTGGATCTTTTCTCTAACAAAATGACAGTCAATTTCTATATGCTTGGTCCTCTCATGAAAGACTGGGTTAGAGGATATATGCAAAGCGGCTTGGTTGTCACAAATGAGCTTCATAGGCCTTTGTTCACAGAGATGGAGTTCCTTCAGCAATTGTCTCAGCCAGATGAGCTCACAGGTTGCATTTGCCATTGCCCGATATTCTGCCTCCGCACTGGATCTGGCGACCACAGTTTGCTTCTTACTCTTCCAAGAGATCAAATTTCCTCCGAAAAGAACACAATACCCTGAGGTGGATCGTCTATCTGAAGGAGAACCTGCCCAGTCAGCATCTGAATAACTAGAGATCTCTGAACTCCCTTTATTTGTATATAATAAACCTCTTCCTGGCGCCTTTTTAATATATCGGAGAATTCTAATAACTGCATCCCAATGGGAGTCACAGGGAGAATCAAGAAATTGACTTGCAACACTCACTGCGAAGGAGATATCTGGCCTTGTCACAGTAAGATAATTCAATTTTCCAACTAGTCGGCGGTAGCGACTAGGATCTGGCAGTGGCTCCCCCTGTCCTGGTAATAACTTAACATTGGGGTCCATAGGTGTATCAATGGGTTTACAGCCTAACATTCCAGTCTCATCTAGGATATCCAGTGCATACTTCCTCTGACAGATGGAAATGCCCCGCCTAGACTGTGCAACTTCGATCCCCAAGAAATATCGAAGTCTGCCAAGATCTTTGGTCTGAAATTGATTGAATAAATGCCCTTTCAACTGATCAATCCCGATCTGATCACTGCCTGTAATGATAATGTCATCAACATAGACCAGGAGATAAACGCACTGGCCAGAAGAGCTATGCCGGTAAAAGACAGAATGATCGGCTTTGCTTCTGATTAAGCCAAAGGATTCAACAACTGAACTAAAGCGGCTAAACCAGGCCCGATGAGATTGCTTCAGGCCATATAAAGATTTCCGAAGTTTACATATCATTCCAGAATTCTCCCCCTGAGCAACAAAACCTGGTGGTTGCTCCATATAAACTTCTTCCTGCAAGTCACCATGTAGAAAAGCATTCTTAATATCAAGTTGGAGAAGAGGCCAGTGATGAATGGCGGCAAGGGCAAGAAACAGGCGAACAGAAGCCATCTTAGCAACAGGAGAAAAGGTATCCCCATAATCAAGACCAAAGATCTGTGTGTATCCCTTGGCCACTAAGCGAGCTTTAAGGCGATCAACAGTGCCATCAGGACCAACTTTAACTGTGAACACCCATCGACAACCAACAACAGACTTCCCGGGAAGAGCACGAACAAGATCCCAAGTGCCATTAGAGTGAAGTGCCTGCATTTCATCAAGCATCGCCTGGCACCACCCTGGATGAGATAGTGCTTCACCTGTGGTTTTAGGGATGGAAACAGAAGAGAGACTAGAAACAAAAGTAAAATGTTGTGAAGAAAGCCTGTCATAACTCAAGAAAGAATAAAGGGGATGAGGATTTCGAGTGGATCGAATACCTTTCCGAAGGGCAATGGGAGGAGTCTCTGATGGAGGATCCGGAGGAGAAGAGCCGACGGGAAAGGGCGATGAGTCATCAAGAGGCAAAGTCGGAGGAGGTGCAGGCTGACGACGCTGGTATGTGAGGAGAGGACGATCTGCAGGAATGGAGGTAATTGGTTGCTCCTCTAGAATAGGGGCACCTGCAGCTGGTAAAGACAAGTCAAGAAAAGGAACAGGAAGGACCTGATCAACTTGTGACACTGGAGACGGAGTAGAGTGAAAAGGCTGCTGATCAAGGAAAGTGACATCAGCAGAAACGATATAACGTTTGAGATCAGGTGAATAGCAACGATACCCTTTTTGAAAACGGGTATACCCAAGGAAAATACATTTGAAGGCCTTGGATGTCAACTTGTCTTTACCTGGAGTAAGATCATGAACAAAACAAGTACAGCCAAAAATATGTAAAGGCAGAGGATAAGAAGGTGCTCCGGAAAACAAAATACTGTGGGGAACATCATTATTTAGCACAGAAGAGGGCATGCGGTTGATAAGGAAACATGAGGTGATAATAGCATCTGCTCAAAAACGAAGTGGGACGTTCATATGAATGAGAAGAGTACGTGCAGTTTCAACTAGATGTCTATTTTTACGTTCAGCGACTCCATTTTGTTGTGGAGTGTGGGGACAAGTAGTCTGGTGTATCGTCCCATGTGTATCCAAAAATTTAGAAAATTCAAGAGACACATACTCTTTTGCATTATCACTGCGCAAGATTTGAATAGAAGCACCAAATTGAGTTTTTATTTCTGCACAAAACTTTTGATAAATTGAAAATAACTCAGAACGATTTTTCATTAAATAAACCCAAGTGCAACGGGAGAAATCATCAATAAAGGTTACAAAATACTGAAAACCCAAAACTGACATAGTCCGACTCGGACCCCAAATATCAGAATAAACAGTAGAAAAGGGAGCAGCAGCTCTTTTATTGACTCTACTAGCAAAGGAAGAACGAGTATGCTTTCCCTGCTGACAAGACTGACAATTCAAAGACTTAAGACCTGACAAAAAAGGAACCATATGCTGAAGCTTCGAGAGACTTGGATGACCCAGACGGCTATGGAGAAGCTCAGGAGACTCTGTGAGAGAGCATGCAACTGGAGCAGAGGGTGCATGCAGATAGTAGAGACCTCGTGACTCACCGCCCGCTCCAATCGTCTTCCCCGTACCCGGATCCTGCATAGAAAAAGACTGTTTAGAAAAGGTGATAGAGCAAGAAAGAGAATGGGTCAATTGACTAACAGAAATTAAATTAAAAGGAATGCCAGGGATGTAATAAACAGAGGTTAAAGTCAAGAAGGGAGTTGGTTTGGCTTGCCCAATGCCACGAGCAGGAGCCATGGTGCCATCAACAAGAGTAACAGAGGGAAGATTATTAGAAAAGGTAAGGGAAGTAAAAAGATCCTTATTACCACAAAGATGATCAGTAGCACCTGAGTCTATTATCCAGGGTCCAAGAGACGATTGAGAAAAACAAGCAACATGATTACCAGTATCTGGAGCAGGTGGCTGAGAAGAACTCTTCTGGAGAAGGGCCTCATAGTCTGCAGCGGAAATAGTCACTGATCCGGTAGAGGGCGGCACAACATCTGTTTGAGCAAAGTTCATATGTGGTGGCTTCAAGTGAGGGTACTTTCTATAACAACGTTCTTCAATGTGGCCCAGATATTGGCAATAATTACATCGAGGCCTTTGTCCTCGGCCACCCTGTCCATACGACATCGTCTGTCCGCGCCCGCCTTGTCCGCGGCCACGACCACGACCGCGTCCACCATTGTTCCAATTACCACGAGAGACTAAAGCAGCAGAATCAGACAAGAGAGCAGTAGAGTCAGTAGCTGTGACGTGTGCGGGAGCTACCTTATCTTGAAGATTCAGAAGGCGCTGAAAGGTCTGGGATATGCTGGGAATCGCAGTACTGGTTAGAATGTTCTCACGAACACTTTCTAATCCGTCAGGGAGACCAGAGAGAGTCACAACCGTAAAGAGACGCTCCACTTGCGTCCTGTACACTGTAGCATCCGCAGCATGAGGTAACATAGCCAAAAATTCCTGCATCAAAGAACGAATCTTACCAACATAAACTTCCATACGAGCTTCGGGTGATTTGCGCAAATCCATCATCTGGGAGACAATGGAATAAAGTTGTTGAATATCATTGGTGTAGAGGTTTTTGGCTTCCGTCCACACATCATAGCAGGTCTCAAAAGGAATGAAAATATTGAGAAGAGATGAATCAATGGATTGCCAAAGAATACTGAGGAGCTGAGCATCAACTTTCTCCCATTCAGTCATCTGATCTTGGGAAATATCAATCTTCTTAGTGGTGAGATGTTTGTCATGGCCTTGACCGGTAAACCAGATCTTAACGGAGGTAGACCAGGTCTTGTAAGTGGCAGATCCGGTCAATTTCAGACTTGTGATAGATGGAATAGCACTTGAAATGATGCCGGAAGAATGTTTACTGGTTCCTTCCATCAGGAACAGCGATCAGACAACCAAAAAACTGTAAAAATTACGCGAAAAAGGAACAAAGTAGCGACTTTTGCACTGGAAACCCTCGAACGGAAGAGACCCACAACGATCGGTCACTGGATCTGGAAGGAGGAGGCAGAGGCGAGCCTGTCTGCCTTGGTTTGGTCGGAAAAGGTGGCCGGAACAGTGCACACGCGCCGGAGAGAGGTGGCGCGTGAGGCCCACGCGCAGACAGCTGTGGTGGCACGTGGAGGCGCGTGCGGCGGCCGTTTGGGACGGGTCTTGGACAGAAATGGTCGCCGGCGTGAGGGGATCCTGATCGCGTGGTTTCTCGCCGGAAAGGTGGCCGGAACAGTGATGAACAGTGACGGAACAGTGTTTCTGGCGATGTGAACAGTGTTTTCTGGTCAAATAATGAAGGAGGATGACGATCTGAGATCGAAAAAGGGTCTAACAATGTTCGGAGGGTTGAAAAAGGTTGCCGGTATGATGCACGGCGGTAAAAAGGTTTGCCGGTATGATGCACGACAGTACAACGAAAGGAAAAAAATATATATGCGGAAGCAGAGCCCTCAGATCGAGAGCTCTGATACTAAATTGAATCTGAAATATATTGTATATTCAAGTGTGTAAGTCTGTACAAGGAGGCTCTCTATTTATAGAGACTAAAAAGACCTAATGGGATGACCTAATGGGCCAAGCCCACAATCTAGACTATTCTAGACTATTCTAATAATAATAAAATAATATTATTTCTAACATTATTTCTAACATATATAATTTTGACAAAATGGACAGGATCTCTTTATGATGCCATGATGTACTGGTGGCTAAAAATAAAAAAATAAAAAATAAAACTAAAGAAGACTGAAGATATCTGGTTTGTTTTTGAATTTCATACTTTCATTTGAGGTGGCTTCCAAAATGATGAATCAGAGTAGAAAAGCCAGCCCTGCAAATTCATTTATATTTGTTAGCTGCAAATCACAGTGCAAATGGCACCAAAATATTCATGAAAAAAATAGTGTAAAGAACCTTGAGGTCACCACCCCAAAAGCTAGCTCAAAAGATGGGAGTGCCCAAGGCCTTATAAACTCCACATTAGTTGCACATACAACCAATGTGGGACTATATATCTCAACACGCCCCCTCACACGAGAGCCCTTTGGGCTTGAAGCGTGGACAATGCAACAGGCCCAGCCTACCTATGCTAAGAAACTCCACAAGAGAAAGTGGGGAACGGCGAGGCTCTGATACCATGTAAAGAACCTTGGGATACACCACCCCAAAAGCTAGCTCAAAGGATGGGAGTGCCCAAGGCCTTATCAACTCCACATTAGTTGCACATACAACCAATGTGGGACTATATATCTCAACAAATGGTAAAGAGGATAATCGTAACTCTTAAATATTCCAAAGCAACAAGAAGATAAAAAGCATCCACAGCAGAAGAAACACAAAGATAGGTACAATCATCTGACTGGAAATACAATTCGACATTGAGAAAGTAGGGGGGGAAAAAACACTGTGAGTGAAGAAAATTATAAATCAATGAAATAATTCATGACTCAGAATTACTGTCTAGTTAAGGCAAGCATTATCTTTATCATGTAGCTCAAAATTTTCTGGTTAACTACATTATATTTATTTATCCGCTCATACTTTTTTCTGTGATTTCCCTCCTTAATGAAAATGACTCAATACAAAAACAAGATTTACAAGAAATTTACATACAATATAACACATCAAACAGGATTTATAATAAGATATCTGGAATGACTATGATTAAGAAGGATATTGTTGAAGACAACAGAAGCGTCAAGCTGGTATGTCTAACTTAAGAAATTGAGATGCTTATAAAGAGAGAAAATGAATTTAGAGAATTCATGGTATATAAGGAATAAAAATGGAAACCGAAAGATCCAGAGTCAATTGAAGCATACTTGCATTAACCACACAGCGTCCTTGTCACCTTCGGAAATGCCTTTATATACTGCCGCTCCAAGAGCTGATATATAGGATGGATCACTCTTAGGTGGGGAGTTTTCGTTAAACGTGTCACTGCAGTCATTGATATAATTTGTGAGCAACCAAGATTAATCAAGAATACAAATTCACTCCACTCCAGATACAGTATAATATGTGTGTATGTCATGAAAGAGAAAAAAAAATGACTTGAAAAGAGAAACACTTGTAAAATATTATTGCTTTTGTGAAAACATAGGTACAAAGGGTTACAATTAGAGAAACTAATGGGCCAAAAGGAATAAACCCAAATCCTAAGAAATAAGGAAACATAATCTGGCCAATAAAGGAAACAAATAATAACAAATATCTTCCATATTTACAACAAAATGGAATGATAGTTTGATATGGAAGATCATCAACTTGCAACCAAAACTTCTAAGAAATAAAAATAAAGTATGGAGGATAAGTGAATCTACCAGTTGTAAATGTCTGTTACATCCCCATATTCTGTAAAACAAAAAAAAAAAAAAATAGAGAGAAATACAGAAAATATGTAAAATATTGATATAGATAGTGAGGGGGAAAAGGAAGGGGCAAAAACACAAAAACAATAGGGTCATCACTCAAAGACTAGCAGTTTTCTTACCAAAACATTCAACAACAAAAAAAATAAAAAAGCAAAAAAGAAAGTGATATAAGACTGGTAGATTATAGGCCCAATTCTGCATAATCATGTTACCAACTTAAAACTCAACTTCCCTTTTTCCCTTATCCACCTGCTCCTTCATCAATAATGAAGGAAAGAAAAGAAAAACTCAGAGAAGCTAGATGCTACTCTGCCCCAAGGCTTAAGCCTCTCAGAATTTACAGATTCCACAACCCCCAGTCGTCCCCTTCCTACATATTCACACCTCTCCCAATCCTTTCCACGCCCCCTTCTCCAATGTCCTGCAGCCACATATCATTTCTCTTAGACTCCCCCCTTTCCCCCATAACAGGCTTCTCCAACACATTTCCATTGCTGGCCCTTCCTTCCCTGCCTCTCTTCTTCCACTAATAAATACAAATTGGAGGCCCATCTAGGCCATCAATCCTTGTCAGAAAAAAAGGAAAAAGAGAGAAATTAGGCTCACCTTTGATTTGTTTCCTGATAAAAGCTTCCCCAATTTCAACAAATAGAGGATCAGAGGGATCAAGAAGGTATGTACAGCACCAGCGAGGATCAGCGTCAACAGTGTTCCTGGAAGCAATTATAATGAAACACTTCAGATGACAAAAACATGGAGAGATGAAGCTTTCAAACTCAAAAAGAGGTTATAAACTGGAATATGAGCAAAATATTCAAAACAAGCCAATTACTGAAAAAACATTGTACACATGTTTGGAATTCTTCACCTAGGTCATACAAATTCATGCAATAAATATTGAAAAAAATTAACACTGAAACAAGACTTTCCTGAGAAATGAACAATCATGTAAAAGAGAAGGGAAATACCAGTCACCAAGTCTAGTTATTTTTGCTGAGGGGAATATCTTTGTCAAAGCAGCTGGAACATTCCCAGAGAAGGCTGGCAACACTAGAATATAAAAACTAGTGTAATATCAGAGCAGTAAATTTAGAAAATGTAGCAGAGAATTTTAAGGCTGTAAAACCATTTTCCCTCATAAAAATACCTTTGTTGGTATCGGATGATTTTCTTGTACCAATAACTCTTGACATTTGTAATAAAATTAGTATATATATTGTAAACATTTGCATATAAATAATATAGAACAGTGTGCAATATCTCTGTTTTTCAGTATCAAACAGAATGAAACTCATAAAACAAATCTACATGTTTTATGCAAGTATACCTGGAGTCATCCCTAGCTCTAGCATTCGCGAGAGTATCCGTTTCTGTAAGACCAACTGTTGATCTAACCAATTTTGAGATAAAGGCCCACCCCAGCTGTGCAAAGATATATCTCATTACAAATTGTAAGAGAAATATAATATAAAACCATTAATATGCCCTTCACTTATTAGTTTATGTTTATGAGTTGAATTGGTTCTTTATATGATATCAGAGCCTTCATGACCAAGTTGTCACGAGTTCGATCTTCACCGCCTCTATTCTATTAATAAAATTCAATATAGTTGAGTTTCTTAGCACAAAGTGGGTGAACCTCTGCATTATTCACCCTTCAAGCCCAATGAACTCTTGCGTGAGGAGACATGTTAGTGAAATATAATATAAAACCATTAATGTGACCTTCACCTAATAGCTTAAGCTTTTGGGTTAAATTGGTTCTTTACATAAACCAAAGCACATGATAAGAAAACAATTACTTTTTAATCAAGGCAATCAGAGAATGAAAAAAAAATTCTGGTATCGAGGACACACCTTCAATAATATATAAAGATGGATAGAGAATGAAAAGTGATATCACTACTATTACTACCCAGTGGATCATGTAAGGAAAGAATAAAGATTTATTTATAACCAATTGTACTACATAATTAAAGACCAGAGAACTATAGACATTGATTGTTGCAACTGTATGGCCACCTCCATGCTGTAAATCATGAAGACAGATGAAAAATAAAAATTCAAATTCCATCTATGAAAAAAGATTATACATGAAAGAAGTACTGCTCCCTAACACTCTGTCATAAAACCATTTTTAGCTAACATTCTACATTGGAATGAAACTGTAAGGGGCACAATATAACACATATAATTAAAGTCACTTAAAACAATAGTAACTCTTTTTCTTCTTCTCATTGTTTTTTTCCTAAGTGTAAAGAACCTTGGGATACACCACCCCAAAAGCTAGCTCAAAGGGTGGGAGTGCCCAAGACCTTATAAACCTCACATTAGTTGCACATACAACCAATGTGGGACTATATATCTCAACACGCCCCCTCATGCGAGAGCCCATTGGGCTTGAAGAGTGGACAATGCAACAGGCCCAGTCTACCTGTGCTAAGAAACGCCACAAGAGAAAGTGGGAGGCGGCGAGGCTCTGATACCATGTAAAGAACCTTGGGATACACCACCCCAAAAGCTAGCTCAAAGGGTGGGAGTGCCCAAGACCTTATAAACCTCACATTAGTTGCACATATAACCAATGTCGGACTATATATCTCAACATACAACCAATGTGGGACTATATATCTCAACACTAAGCATTACAATTTTCATAATATCTTTGTTATTGGAAATTTTAGAGAAATCTCATATAAAAATCATTAATGTAGACATCACTTATAACTTACAAACTTAGACTTTTAGGTTGAAATGGTCTTTTACACGGTATCAGAGCCACTGAACAAATGGTCACGAGTTTGATGCTCACCATCCCCACTCAAGCACAGGGAGGTGATCTTGTTCATTATCTACTCTTCAAACCCAATAGGCTCTTATGTGAGGAGGTGTATTAGAGAAGTCTAATATAAAATCATTAATGAAGACATCACTTACAAGTTTAAGCTTTTAGGTTGAAAGAGTTCTTTAAAGGATAAAATATTCAACATGAACTACCCTCCTTTTTACAATATGAAATATGAATGAATAATGAACTTTAAACACATGATTACTCAATTTGCAAGACCATTTTCTTGGCTTTCTATACAGATTAACAATCACCAACGAGGTTTGAATACTGCTTTTACGTACCCATGTAAGTTTCCCATGCGAGCCCAAGCAAGGAAAGCAGGTCCACCGAATAAATTTTTCAAATCTTCTGAACTAATGTTAAAATCCTACAGTTAGAATATACTAGTCAAATTGCTAATAAAAGAGAAAAGAAAGAGTATATGTTTTATGAGTATAAATGACATCAATAAGAATGAAACAAAGCATCTAAATTTGGTAGCTGATCCGACAAAAATTATTCTTGAAACTTCTAGCATTTTATCAAATATTATTGACCCAATCGATTTTAGTCCAGGACCCTCAAGAAGTCTGGGATATCTGTATTTTCTTTTCTGTTCTGTTAAGAAGAAGTGATGAAGAGAGTTTCTACTATTTTCTGTACAAACTTGACTCTGTTACTGATATCAGGAGCAAAATTTCAGTGATAATACATTACTATTCATCTATATCAAGTCCAGTTCTATCATAATCACCTACATACACTCAAAGATATACCAAAGAAATAGCAATGCTCTATTATCCATCTATGCTTAAGCACATAAAACAATTGCCAACGATAAGCTGTATTGTACATAAAATAATCGAAATGAAACAAGCTACACACTATTTGAAGTAGCAAAGTGAGCAGAAGTTCGAAAAGGAGGACAGCAAAGAAAGAAAGAAAGTAGAATAAATGCAACAGAACTCACATTTTAATAAAGTCACATCATTAATGACAGCATAAAGAAAACATTAAATTTCTAAAGTCTATAATAAATAGCACGTTACAAACTTACAAGTAACTAATATCTGATATGGAGAAAAAACTATTATATAGCACTTGACCTAAAAATCTTTTGGTATCTATTGATTCTATGAGCCAATCTTTGATACAGATCATCACATCAAACTATAGAATTCATTTTTCTTAAACCAAGCTTTATGGATGCACATAAACATTAAAATAGCACTTCACCTTAAAAACTTTTTGCCAGATTGCTTCCTGCCCAGTAAATGCCAAGGGCAGGTTCACACCCTGAAGTGCCATCCAGTCAACCTCTTTTTCCCACCTTTCCCAGTCCCACCAAACATATGAATCTGCAAAGAACCAAGAAGAATGTGATATACACAAATGAAGCAACAGGTTGTGTCCCTAATATGTATGTTGCCTAACATTTAGCTTATGACCTTTGCTTGTACTGGCACCCCTCCCCTCCCCTCGTGAGAAAATTCATGTCAACCTGAATGGGTTAGCAAAAGCAGACTTGGGAAGACCGACTCACCCAGATTGATAGTTTTACATTTAGCAATAGGAGGAATTCTAGGATGTTTACTCGTATTAATCTAAGGATAGATAGCAATACCTAAAAAATTAGCTTCGGTATAATTTTTAAATCTCTACAAGATCTAGTGCAGCTTTTTTCAGGGATAAAATAAGCATAGGATCTTCCTAACTGAAATTTTTATAGAATACCTATCTGACCTTTGAGAACAAACTGCATTTTTTCCAAGTAGGTTTTTTCCCTTTCCAAATCAAGCCTTTGACTTATTTAGTTGAAAATTTCCGCTTTACAAATAGTAATTAATTCAACTTCCTTGTAATGATTGACTCCCAAGATTATCATCCTTTCTCAAAACAAAGTTTGAGCATTGGCACTTTTCAGATACTGAACTACATCACTTCAAATTCTCCATCAGTGGTACAGTAAAGAAAATGGTGAGAGAAATGTTTTGTTTCATGGAAAGCTGATTTTGGTACTCACAACTAGAAGTCACAACATTTTGGTAATAGTTCCATGGAACTGGGCGTTTAATCTTCAGACCCTCATCTTTCAAACGGGGTAGTGACCCAGGCTTAGGTATTGAAGCTGTCTGAATGCCACCTGTCTTGTCCCATGAGACATGAGCACCACACCAATACTTAAGATACCAATGGAGGCCAGATGCAATCTCAACAGCTGTGGTTCCTCCAATGCTGTGAAATTTATCCATGACAACGTCAAATAATATTAAATGAGGAAGAAAATCCTTAATTTGCTCTATGATACGTCAAAATATTCCTTACACAATGTCATGATCTAATCTAATTTCAGTTCTTGAAATGCAATGTTACAAAAAGAATTTCATGTTTGAGAAATTTATAAAAGAAAGTGACATTTGATTAAGCTGATATCTTGTATTATTCCAAAATCTTATCCTCAAGGGAGGAGGTACTCGATACTTTTAAATGCCTAAGTTCCATTCAGCCATTAAGGCTTGCATGTAATTCTGCACAAAAAGCCTAAACGTCTCTTAAATTTTGAAGAGTCTTAGAAATGGAAAGACATCAAACATATGTGAGACTACAACATGTAGCATGGGACCAACAAAGAGGTAATAGTAAAATTCAACAAGGATAAATGAAAATCTCAGTGATGCAACAGTCATGAATTTTTTCAGAAACCAACTTTAAGGGAGTAAGTCTAAATTATTGGGAGACTTGATCATTTCTTCCTTAGATTAAAGTCCAATAAGGACTAAACTCGGCTTCAACCTTCACAAAAAACCCTCTCCTTTTCTTGGTACTAACTATTCTGTCTTAATATTGATCCTTCCAAGAACAGAACAGATAACTAATGATGGTGGAAAACTGACCAACAGATCAAGAACCTTGCATAATTATACCACAACACAATGCTAGAATTTTCTTACCACGTGATATACAGATCAAAACACACTTGACCAATTTAAAATTTTCAAAATACATTGTCAAGAAGTTCATCAGCATTTTCTACTTGAAAATCAAGTTTAAATAAATGAAAAGCAAGAGAAGAAGAATAAAAAAAGTCATAAATAAAAGAAATCCAAGCATCTCATAATTTCAAAGAAAACCAAGAACTCATAACAAAGAAATATTAACCATAATCGACAGCATAATTTTCACATTACATACATAATCTCAGGCCCACTCTGACTTGCATTCTTGTGATTGTTTATCAGAAAGCAACTGTCTCCACCACAGGCATCCTGAAAATTGTAAAAATCTTATTTTTACATTCAATCATGAAAAATAAGAGAAGATGCAGACACCAACTACTTTGGAAGGATAACATAATAGTACAGTTAGGTTAAAGCACAAATCATAATTAATAAAAATAAATAAATAGTCATTGCTGCTTCCAACAAAATTAGTATGTAAAGTGACTATCACAATATCATCACATTGATTGATTGAATTATACTATGCAACTTAGTGTACAAGTAATACAAACTTTCAGGTAAAGAGAAAAAAAAAATGACAACTCTTTTCCTTTCTTACTTTGTATCATAATACTAGGAAAATAGTAATAATCAATCAGCACATGCAAATTAAACAGTTAAGACTTGGAATCAATCATAAAGGAGTTAGTCTCACTTAAAAACAAGGGTATAAGCTTAAACCACACATTAACAAACAAAATTACAAGAATGGTCACTTCTACATAAAATAAGTAAATATAAAGCTCCACACACTCTTTTTTCTTTTTTTTCACATTTACACCACCAGAATCAGAAGAAAAATTCCATTTTCAAAATCAGAGAAACGGAAAGATATCACTGGATTCCTTCATTTTCTGCATATCTATGAAACCAAAATTTAACAAAAACTGTGAAATAACTAACTCTTAACACAAAGTCAAACATAAGATTCAACTCAAAAGATTCAAATCAAAAAGGAAAAACACCTTAGAAACTATACTGAACTCAAAACTGGACAAATGGGTAGGAAGCAGTCTTTTCAGAACACCACGAGCTGCTGCTTCTTGCACCGATGAAGATGCCCTTTTGGAATCCAAACGCCGAAGCAAAGGTTCTATGGCTTCAAACTTAGACAGTGACACGGGCACTAAAAACGTTAGAATCAAAATCAGAAACAGAAACTTGAATTTCAACATTCTTCTTCCAGAATGCTGCTAGTGATCAACACAACAGCGTGAAAAAACAAAACATGATATCTATGCCTATCTAGTTCGAACTTCATTTTAATGGGTTATTCAATGGTTTTATATTTTTTTATTAAGTTAGTGTTATTATTTAATTTGGTATATATATATATATATATATATATATATATATATATATATATATATATATATATATAAACTATAGATATATATATATATATATATTTTATTTTTTATTTTTTATTTTTTTATTTTTCTATTTTTTATTTTTATTTTTATTTTTATTTTTTATTTTTTTGGGGGGGAGTCATTGATTTGATCGAAAGAAAGAAAGAAAGCTAGAAGAAAACATTCAAGTCAGATTCAATAAATCGTTCAGAAGGAATAGATGATAACGAAAAGGTAACCATTTTTGTGATTTGATTGAAGGGTGAGAAGAGAAGAGGGTTTTTCTTGGAGAAGATAAGAAAGAGTTATAAAATGAATCCCGCCGAGAACCATACAATTCGCCAGATACACTAGCAGAAAAGACTAGGTCTAATTAAGATGGGGAGTGGGGAGTGAAACGGTGCTTTCTTGAAGGTAGGGAATCATCATGCATCAAAAGTTTTCTTGCGTGATAATGGGGAGTGGGGGTTCTTCGGAAGCTTCGGGTAGTGTCAAGAGTTTGGGAGAGGTTGTTTCTGGAAAGGATCCTAATGTTTTGATCTAGGTAGACAACACAGGCACTATCAAGTTGCCTTTGGTTTTGCATGGCCAAAACGGTAGGGAAGGACCTTTGGAGTTGTCTGGTTATGAACTAACCCTGAAGGAGGCCAAGGCTAAGGACAAGGGTACTGACAGAAATCGTGTGTCCTATATGGACAAAGTACTATGTTTGAACGGAGACCATGATGTTACTGAATGCGAAGAGGATGAATGGGCCTCTGGACCATCAAACCGGAGTCAAGCAGAGGGCGAGAGAGACCCTCTGTGCCCAACCTACGTCTTTTCCCGAGAACAGCATAAGGTGGACTGTAAACAATGGAGTAATGCTTTAATCATTAAGCTGATGGGTAAAAATATACCATCGAGAATCCTCATAACCAGACTGTTGTAAATAGTAATTATGTAGTCATTTATTAGTAATTATGTAGTCATTTATTGCTGTTGTAAATAGTAATTATGTAGTCATTTATTAGTAATTATGTAGTCATTTATTTGTATTTATTTAGTCTGTTACTTGTATATTGGGCCAAGCCCATTAGGTCAAAATTAGGTCAAGAAGTCTCTATAAATAGAGACCCCTATGTACAGATTCAAATACGATTTAATAATATTTCAAATACCCTTTTATTTCAAGTTGGTATCAGAGCTCTCGATCCTGAGGGCTCTGCTTCCGCGCCTATTGTCTTTAGAACAAGAACCTTTTATTCTTTTAGTCTCTCGCTGCCATCAGCCGCCACCGGATTTTTTCCGGGGACCTCTTGGACCGAGAAGATCTCTGTTATACTGGATCTCTGTTACTGTTCATCGTCTCCATTATTCTTCATCACAAGACAGCATCTTTTCATCACGATTGGACCCTTTCCCGGTGGTTTTTCATCCTCTTTCTGGATCTGTGCTCCTCTCTTTGATCGGACATCGTTTGGTATTTATTTGTGATTTTTTGGCTTCTTCGAGCTTTTCTTTGACCATTTTCTGTGCAGTATGGCCTCTTCTCAAAGGAGTTCTTTTTCAAAATTTTATGATGGTACCTCTTCTAGACCTAAGAGAGATGATCGATGGTGTTCTTATTGTAAAAGAACAGGTCATATCAAGGATTTATGCTTTCGCCTTTATGGAAAGCAATCTGTCTTAGAAAAGATGGCAAAGTTGCGTGGTCAAGCGCATTTTACTTCCTCTGAAATAACTCCTACACCTAATAAGACCCAACCTGCATTTCGTCCAGATGAGTTGGAACGGCTCCGAACCATTCTTGATTCTATGAGTAAGCCATCTGATACTAGTGCTTTGACTATGACTGGTATGAGCTCCAAAACTTATTCTTTCCTTTCTTCATGTAATGATTTTAAACATTCTTGGGTTGTTGATTCTGGTGCTACTGATCATATGGCTTGTTGTGCTGACTCCTTTACCTCTTATCATCCGACCATTGGAACTCATACAATAGCCGTAGCTGATGGCTCTCATACATCAGTTGCGGGTTCTGGTGACATAAACTTACAGCAGTCCTTACATCTTAAGGATGTTCTTCATGTTCCTAAACTCTCCACGAATCTTCTTTCTATTCATAAAATTACAAAAGATTTGAATTGTACTGTAACCTTCTATCCTACCCATTGTATTTTTCAGGATCTCGCCACGGGGAAGACGATTGGTAGTGCTAAAGAGCAAGGTGGGCTGTACTATCTGGTGTCACAATCTCCTGCAAATAAAGTAACAAATCACATCTTGATGTCTCATGGTCAATCAACTGCTGATTCTTTGATTTGGCTTCATCATAGGCGCTTAGGTCATCCTCCATTTAGTTTACTCAAATCTTTATTTCCGTCATTGTTTTTGTCTAAATCTGTTGAGTCTTTTCATTGTGATGTTTGTGAATTTGCTAAGCATCATCGTGTGTCTTTTCCTTCTAGTATTACTAAGAATGTTGAACCTTTTGATCTTATTCATTCTGATGTTTGGGGTCCCTCTAAAGTCCCTCATGGTTCTGGAAATAGATGGTTTGTTTCTTTTATTGATGATTGCACTCGTGTAACTTGGGTGTACTTAATGCGTGAAAAGTCTGAGGTACCACAACTGTTCTTTCAATTTTATAAAATGATTGAGACCCAGTTTGGTAAAAAACTCAAGAGACTTAGAACAGATAATGGTACTGAATATGTTAATCATAGCTTTTCCCAATTTATAAGAAATAACGGTATGATTCATGAACTTACTTATGTTGACACCCCCCAACAGAATGGGGTTGCTGAAAGAAAAAATCGTCACCTTCTTGAAGTGGCTCGTGCATTAATGTTTCAGACACATGTACCCAAATACTATTGGGGAGATGCTATTCTTACTGCAGCATTCTTGATCAACCGTTTACCCACTCGGGTACTTGACCATGTAAGTCCTATTCACTCTATGACTTCTTTTTTCCTTCTATTCCAACTATGATGAGTCTTCCTCCACGAGTGTTTGGGTGTGTTGCTTTTGTTCATGTTCATAAACATCATCGCAGTAAGTTGGACCCTAGGGCTATTAAATGTGTTTTTCTTGGTTATGTTCCTGATAAGAAGGGCTACAAGTGCTATCACCCTAGTAGTAGGAAATTTTTTGTTTCTATGGATGTTACATTTCAGGAATCTGAGTCCTTTTTCCAAGGTCCTCATCTTCAGGGGGAGAATCCTTCACCAGAAATCTCATCTCCTCCCTTCTTTGAGTTTGAATCATCAGTGTCTACTCCTTTACCTATGTCAGTGTATCCTCCACCTGGTCCTGTTCCTCCTGTGTCTGTTTCTCCTTTGGCTGTTCCTCCTGTGTCTGATCCTCTTGTGAGTAATCCTCCTGTGACCGATTCTCCTGTGATTGATGCATCAAGTACACCAGAGATACGAAAGATTATGACACCTGAAAGAAGGAAACAACCCACATTGTCTCAGCAGCAACCTCAATCGTCTGAACCACTGGTAAGTCCTGAATCTCATATTTTTGATCATGATGACTTACCCATTACTACTGATTCTGATGATTTACCCATTGCTCTTAGAAAAGGAAAAAGAACTTGTCCCAAGAAATCTTGTCCCTCATGTCCCTCTTGTACTCAATGCCCTATCTCCCAGTTTGTTTCCTCTGCTAATCTTTCTGTGCAGCACAAAAGCTTTGTTTCAGCACTAGACTCTATTGCAATCCCAAAATCAGTACATGAAGCCTTGAAAGATAGGAATTGGGCTCAAGCCATGCAAGAGGAGATGAATGCATTGGAGAAAAATAAAACATGGGAGGTTATTGATAGACCTACTGGAAAGAAAGCAGTAGGGTGCAGATGGGTTTATGCCCTGAAATATAATTCTGATGGAACTCTTGAGAGATACAAAGCTCGATTAGTTGCCAAAGGTTACTCTCAAACCTATGGCATTGATTATGAAGAAACATTTGCTCCAGTTGCAAAGATGAATACGGTGAGAGTTTTGTTATCCCTTGCTTCCCATTACAATTGGGATATAAACCAATTTGATGTGAAGAATGCTTTCCTCAATGGTGAGTTAGAAGAAGAAGTCTACATGGAAATTCCGCCTGGTTTTGATTCTGTGAAGGGAGAAAATAAAGTTTGTAAATTAAAAAAGGCCTTGTATGGATTGAAGCAGTCACCTCGTGCCTGGTTTGGAAAGTTTACTAAGGTTATGATGACCTTATGATATAAACAAAGTCAAGGAGATCACACTCTTTTTTTTCAAACACTCCCAAAATGGGAAGCTTACTGTGCTCCTTGTATATGTTGATGATATTATTTTCACAGGTGATGATTTTGTGGAGAGACAGATTCTGCAAACACGGCTTGCCTCTGAGTTTGAAGTCAAAGACCTTGGGAAACTGAGATATTTCCTAGGGATAGAAGTAGCTCATTCGAGCAAAGGAATCTTTATCAGCCAGAGGAAATATGTTCTTGATCTTCTCAAAGAAACAGGAAAGCTCGGGTGTAAACCCTCTAATACTCCTATTGAGCAGAATCACAAGATGGGCTATGAAGAGGAGAGTCCTCCAGTTGATAAAGGACAATATCAACGGCTAGTTGGGAAATTGATATATTTGGCCCATACTAGACCAGACTTAGCTTATGCTGTTAGAGTGTCAGTCAGTTTATGCACGATCCAAAGGAGAAACATATGCAGGCAGTAGAGAGAATTCTTCAGTATCTGAAAGGTACTCCTGGTAAAGGGTTGTTATTCCGACGTGATGGCAATCTATCTTTAGAAGTCTACACAGATGCTGATTATGCTGGATCTGTGACTGACCGTCGTTCTACCACTGGTTATTGCATGTTT